TGTATTTTACAGCTCCAGGAAGGAAATGATTTCTAATTATGCATAGAGCATATTCCCGGAAAAACAAATCTCAGGTAAATATTTGTATTTTGATTTTTTTTAATAAAGGTGAACCTCACAATTTCTGAGATATGTTTTCAATAAATAAACATGGGAGCTATCAAAAAAATTAATTAAAACAATTCACAAGAAAGTATTTTTTTTCTAGTGCTGGAGATTGAATCCAAGTCCTTGCACATGCTATGCTAGTATCATACTCTGAGCACCACTGAGCTACATGCTCAGCCCTAAGACAACTTTTTAATTAAACATGTATAGTCATGCAAGTGCCTTCTCTTTAATACTTTTCCATGAATTTTCACATATATAACTTCTCCCAGTGCTCACAAATCTGTGGTAGACGTGAATGACAGAATAGTCATCATTCTATCGTGAAGGATGTGATTTAGATAATACCTGCCTGACAGCAAGACCAGAGCTAGTTTTCCTGACCCCAATCCAATACTGTCCTCTAAGTGATGAGCAGGATCAAGGTTATTCCTACTTCATTAAATTAAACAGAGAACTTACTGGTTGCCTTTCATGGTTTTGGAAGATCTCTAGAATAACAGATATCCACAAGAAGTAATGATTAGTGTGTTATTTATTTCCTGATTTACCTATGCTGACTGGTGTAACCTGTTTTCCCTTCTCCATGTACAATTTCATCTACTTTAAACAAAAACAAAAAGCAAAAGTCAAGGTTTTTTTTGGTTCTGTTTTGTTTTGTTTTTTGGTGTTGCTTCGTTTTCTCTATTTCAGAACAAAGTAGCGTCTAAGAACCCAATCACAAATGTATCAACAAGTCACCAAAAAAGAAAAAGTAGAAATATGTAAGGTGGCCTTGTGAGATGCCTAATTACCCACAATGCCTAAGTTATTGTTACCAGTGATTTTTTACATTTTCCTCCTATTTTCTAAATTATTTTTAACAAACTAAACTAATATTCCCTTCTGCATTAATCAGAGGCATATGTAGTAGCAATGGCAGCTTTTAGTAGCATGAGAATAAAATCCTAACAAACTTCTTGCAAGTAGAGGCATTTAGTATATTTGCCCTAAAAATGAAACTCCTATCAATGGAAAAGATATGTGTTTTTCAGAATTAAAACAAAAGGATGTCTAAATACTCATACTCTCTTTCTCAGTCTCTGGGAGACCACGGTCCCCCGGCTCAGAGCCCTTGGTCCACACAACTTAGGAAGCCACACTCTATGAAAACTAACAAAAAGTAAATTTCCTACAACAAAACCTACATAAGCCTCCAAAAGCCAAAGTGAATAAGGAGCCAATAGCTTTTGTGGTACAAAAGGCTGTCGATGAATATTTAAGATAGCTACAATAGTCTCTCAGAATCCCAAAACAACTAAAAATATTCTGAAGAAAAAAATTCCTTCTTTAAATAAAGAAGGGGTCATAACTTGCACAAATTTTCAAAGAAGTATCTACCTCACATGTTAAATACCAACGGATTTTAAATGAAAGTGATAACTAAATAGCTGCAATAACATCATATAATGTTATTTCTACAGCTCTGCTGAAATCTGAACAAATGCTGCTGCCCAAATTACAGAAGGGGAAATGCAAACCGTCTTTCCCTCCCAATGGCCTAAGTCTTCATTTCAAATAATTGTCCCTCAAACTCCTATAATCATTAACCCAGCTAAATATATAACCAGATATGACAAGACTCAATTTCATGAAAACAGTTTGGAAAACTAGAAGTTAGGACTGAAACAAAAAACCTAGCTCAAAATATGAAGGCAAGGACCATAATCTTGTTGGCAGGTATCAGGAAGTAGCCAAACACCTGCTGCTATTTAGACTGCCCTTACCAATAAGCCTGTCCTCCCTCTTAGATTTCCAGACGTCCTCCTGAACAACAGAACATAGCTTATTTCAGGAGGCTAGAGTTCATATTGCATAACAGCTAAACTGTAATCTCTGCCCTTGACCAGAAAGATAATTTATAATACTTTCCTGTTTCAATACCATCAGATTTATACCTTTATCTAAAAATGCATGTTAAACATTCAGCTACATATGGTGTTGCAGATACAAAATCACAGCTCAACCTTGACCCCTATTACAATAAAAATCTACAAATGTATAAAAGCACCTACCATCAGGCTATGGATTTAACATGCACTCCTCTGTTTAATTCTTATTACTGCATAAAGTGAGCACAGAGAAGGTGGGTAGTAACATGGGAGTCTTCTGACTTCACACTTTGCATCTTAACAGGAAAGCAGAAGTGCACATAACTCTCAGGCATTCTGAAGAAGGGGATAACACTCAGCCACACCTGTCCCTGTGCATAGGTAAAGTCAGAGGACATGGAGACACAGTTCATTTTAGAGGCAGGAAGGACCAAAAAAAAAAAGGTTTTTTCCATATTTAAATAAATTAGGGAATGATAGAATATTGTTTAGTTAACATGCTTCATGGAATTTCTGGAGCCTTTAAAAGAAAAGAAAAAAGGGCAGTGCAAAGGGGTAAGAGAGCCAGACATTCTGGATTCATTTCTCTTATTTAAAGCTAGGTAAGAAATAAACAGATTGACCTAAGAAATAATGGAAACAGGAAGAATCTAGGAAGAAGGAAAACTATCTAGTAGACTGTCCTACTAAAGGTCTGCAAGTCGGCCCAAGAAGCCATCTGCAGGGAACCCTGGTGTACTCAGAGATGGACCCAAAGGCCAAGCCCATGTTGCGGGGTAGAAAGCCAGTGACTAAGGCACTGCAAAAACCAAGAAATGGTCACAGCAAGTAAAAGCAAATAATTAAAATTAAATACATGTCAACCAAAGGCAGGATGTGCAGAGAAGGAAAAGTCCTGCTGTAAGTTCCAAGGCCCTAGAACACATTGGCAGAGTGAGTGCAGGAATGAGAAAAGTATTTCTGATGCCTTAAGTTCTGATAGTTTTCCCTCCAAATCCCGAGTCAACAGAACCAAAACCAGACTCGTTAGGTTTCTTCCAAACTCGACTCCTCACACTACTCCATGTGGCTGTCTGATTTCCAAGGATCATCCTTCTTTCTCGTCATGTCATATGAGATACATTCCTCCCAAGCCACTTGGATAGAGAGGATCCTGAAAACTTTGTGAAGGAAAGAATAAAAGAATTTGTTTTTAGCTATTGTAACCACTGCAGAGATTATTCTTACCCCTTCCAGTTTTGCTCAGGTAAGTTTTATGCGACCCCCTCTTTCTTGGCTCGTATGAATAAAATGGATATTAAATGGTTCTGAGCAAATTTATTATTATTACTAATAATCTTTTTTTCCCTATTTATTATCTCCTGAAAAATATAACCTTAAAAGTGGTGTGCAATGTTTTAGAGCTGTGATTCTTAACTAGGATCAACTGTGTGCCACATGAGGCATCTGGCAATGTCTGGAGACTATCTGTTGTCACACCTGGGGAAAGGTTGTAGGTAGAGGCCAGGGAGGCTGCTTATTGTACAGGAATGATCAGGACAGACCCATAACAAGAAACTATCTGGCTCAAAATGTCAATAGTGCCAAGATCCAAGGAGTTACAAGGTAAATTAGAATGGTTTGAGGGGGAGGATTCTTCATAATATAAAATATCTCAATATTCTTTTACAAAAGCTACTCTCTTTAATAGACACAGAATCGAAGTGCACACAGTGTCTCACAATTTCAGAATTACATATTCCACAGGAAAGGGTGAAGGGACAATTGTACATGAAGAGTCCGAGTTACATGGACCCCGATGTCACTGCACAGGACTGGTAGTTTAACAAACTGATGGCAAATAAGCTCTGTAGCTCAGAAGCAGTGAGGACAGCTCAGATTCCACACTGTAAGCCACTCTTAATTGAATCAGAACACTATTTTATCTTCTGGCACTCTGCCAAATGACAACTGAAGGGTAGAATATCTTACCAAGAAAAATCAACTCCAATCTTTAAAAAGTTAAAAATAAACTTTCCTGGTTTTGTCCTAACTTTAGTATTCTCTGCAAAACAAAAATCCTTTGATGTAAACTGAAATCCAGCTAACATCAGGCCTCTAGTTTTGTACATCCCTCCCTCAAAATAACAACAAAAACCACTGTGAATTATTCCTATCACCGTTCATTCCCATTTATGTGGGATTGGAGTGGGAAAATATCATGATTCAAAAAGTCCCCCAAAGCGACGAAATACATCAAGAAGTAGTAAATACAGTTACCAGAATTGCCCCTTAGGCTGTGGGGCAGAAATTTAAAATTTAATGCTAAGAATCTTAGCAAAGGAATATCATCCTTGCCAAAGTTACTGTATAATTCCCAATGCTGCTCAAGGATCAACTCCTACTGGCAGACTTCGCTTCGCTGCCTGTCCTCTCCCCTTGGATTCCTCAAGGCACACACTGCCAAAACAGTGCCAAAACACCACTGAATGAAGCTGATCATTATCACTGAGCCCCCGCTAGGTTGGCATAGTGGGTGTTGGCGTGGACGGGAGAGTGGGCTCCTGGAGGTCAGAGGAGAATAATCTGAGACTCCTCCATCCTAACTCCGACCCCAGGGTCCCTTCTAGCTTGATCCTACAATTCTCGGGATCACCATCCATCTGGTATTAGAAATCCACTCCGCGAATAACATTGGTGGATTGACCTCAGTACCAGCTGGAGATCAGTCTATTCAAACTATGGTAAAAAAGGGATTCTTAAATATTCTTAGGTAACTGAACCCTCTTCTAGAAAGTGCATAGTAAGAGCGTTCTAGAACTCGCCAGCACAGGGTCTCAGGAGCCAGATCCGTCTGCTGAGCTCCCAGGTGCGCACACACAAATGCGCACACTCAAGGCGCAGGCTCAAGTGTGCAAACTCCGGGCGCAGACTGGGCCACAGCGCCGCAAGAGACGGATTAGAGCAGACGGATTAGAACCCCCCAACTCGGACTAAGCTCCCTGCCTCCCTCCCCTACCGACGTAGCGCTGCCCAGCTCACCTCATCCAGAAAGCTGGTCAAATCGTACACTTTGTAGTGTAAGATCACCCAAGTGCTTTTGCTATTTTTGTGCTTCTGAATCTCTTCCAAGGTGTAGTACTTTACAGTCTGATCCTCCTGCCCGGCCATCTCGGTAAGCAATGAACCACCCCAGGCCCAGAATACACAGCCGCTCTGGGTGCAGCACAGCAACCTCCACTTGGTACATTCCCAGCGAGACCTGGCCTGGTGCCCGGCACTGGGCGGTGGCGCAACGGAGGGGACGGGTGAGGCACTGCCTGTGAGGATTGGTCAATATCCCGGTCACTCAAACGGCCCCACCCTCGGTCGACTCTCTCCTCCAATCCAAGCCCGCCCCCGCCCAGTGCCCGGTTGTTAATTGGCTACGGAAGGTGCATTTCACAAACACCCGCTACTAGGGAGCGGAAGGCTGAGCAAGACAGAGTTTCCTTGCGGCTGCGTAGTGTTGTTGGAGTGCGAGTCAGAGCTCTAGCAGAGGGCTGAGGAAAGTCGCTGAGAGCCTTGCCCTGCGGAGTGAATTGAACAAGAAGTAACGATGGGGGTCATTGCAAACTCCAACCTTAGTGAGGTCAGCGATCGCAGCACAGGGGTGTTTCCTGATCAAATCAGATCAACTGTAGGGTCCACGTTGTTTACCTGGTGGAGTGACCCATACCTTGATTCCTGAAGGTTCTGGACGTTTGTCACCTGCCTGAATCGAGTTGTTATAGTTTCCCATTGACATAACAGGGCGTAGTAGCAATAGGAGGCTCTCAAAGGGTCTCTTGCACTCCAAATATATTTCTCCTTCCCTTCAGTGTAGAGTAACAGTCCAATTTTCCCTCTTGGGAAGATGGCTCAATCACCACTGCCAATACCGTAACTCCTTTTAACCTTGTTTACTCAGAGGATGAGCCGCCCAAAATGACCACAGGAAATACTTAGCTTCCAGTTCAATGGAATCGTTGCTGTGCTTCCTGATACAAGCTTCCTTTTTCTGGAACTAAGACTTGGCCAACAGAGCATAAGGTCGTGGCAACGAGAGGCAAACATTCTGTGAGTGGGTCACTAGGGGTAATGGTGAGTGGTATAGGTTCCACTTCCACTCCTTGATTCCTGGACCTATGAATCCTGGCTATAGGAGAAGTAGTACCATATACTAGATGCTAATTCAAAGCATATACACCTTCTGGAGAACATGACTCTGGTACTGCAGTGTACTGTCACCTAGCTGGTCCTGTAAGTTCATCTTAAAAAGGCCATCTCACCTTTCTCTCAATCCAACTGCTCTGGATGGTGCAGAACCTGATAAGGCCAATGAATTTTATAATAATGAGCTCATTACCTCGTTTCCCTGACCACAAAAATGTGTCCCTTGCTAAGAGGCAGTGCTGTGTAGGATATCCATGACAGTGGATGAGGCATTCTGTAAGTCACCAGATGGCAGATTTAGCAGAAGTTTTATGTGCAGAGATGACAAATTAATACCAGAATAAGTGTCTATGCCAGCAAAGACAAAAGAGCTGTGCTTTCCTTGATTGAAGCAATCCAATACAAGCTGCTAGGTCACAGGCTGATCCCCCCAGAAAATGATACCATATCAGGACTCACTGTCTTTCTCTGTTGCTGGCAGGGTAAGCATTCAGCAGTAGCTACAGCCAGGTCAGCCTTGTTAGCTGAATCCATGTTGTTGAGACCACACATAACCTCCAACCCTGCCACAGTAGCCACTCCGTTTATGAGCCTTTTGGGCAATGACAGGAGCGATTGAGATAAAAGATTGACTGCTATCCACGGAACAGGTCATACTATCCACTTGATCTTTAAAGTCCTCTCTGCTGAGGTCACCTTTCGGTGAGCATTTACACGAGACACAAATATCTGTACACCCTTTGCCCATTTGGAGAGGTTTCTCCGCATACCTCTTCCCCAAATAGCTTTGTCACCAATTTTCTAGTCATGTTCCTTCCAAGTTCCTGACTATCCAGCAAGACCACTGGCTACAGTCTATGAATCAGTATAGAGTCACACAACTGACCGTTTTCTTTTCCAAGCAAGATGCATGACCAGGTATACTGCCCAAAGTTCTGCCCACTGTGGAGGTTTCCTTTCACTATTGTCTTGGAGGGTTGTCTTGGAAAGGGGCTGTAGTGCTGCAGCGCTCTATTTCAGGCAGTGCCTGCATAAAGTGCAGAACCATCTGTAATCCAGGCCCTAGTGCTCTCTTCCTCTGTCAACTAATCGTACAGTATATCCATGAAACCATAGGTGTGTGCTGGGAGACAGAAGGCAGTATAGCAAAAATAGGCATGGGGATTTGGGCAACGTCTTCATGTAGCTTGTGCTTTCTAGATCTGCTCAGGTGCAATCACATATATACTTCTCTTTTTTATCATTGAGTTTATTAGTACTTTTTAGATGTATAGTACAGTTACATTCATCACTGGGATCTTGTACCTTTACATGACAGGTCTTGGTTCTCATTTCTAACATTTAATAATGGACCGTTGCTGTGCACAACCAACTTTTGACTTGGTCAGGTAGCACACAGTTCATGATAGTACACAGCCTTGCCTTTATTCAAGGGATTCTGGGTCTGTAAACACACCCAACTCTGGGAATTGGCTGAGGGGCTGTGATTTTCTGTTACCACAATTTGAGATAGATTTCTATTCATTTGTACTAAAATTTCTGTGCTCATAGAAATCCAGTAAAAATTTAGTAGGCTTTCTGTCTATTTCACTTTTGGGACCACCATGACTAATCCGCTAACACCATAGGTCTACATGTCTCAGACCATGCTAATCATTGCTCTGCTTCTGTTGTCCGTTATAGTAAGTGCACCTTGTCTTGGTAGTTGAGCACTGCCACTCTGCTACTCCAGGATCCAGTCAAACCCATTGCCTTTAAGATTCTCAGTTGAGTGACTGTAGTCCCTGCTATTACATCTGGCATACAAAGAAGAGCAATGACAGGGTTCTCAAGAATGCTAGTATTTCCCTCACTGTCCTGTTTCTTAAGGTAATTGTGAAAGGTACACTTTCTGTATCTTCCCAATGTGGAGAATTAGGTTTAACACACCAAATCCACTCTACGTTTCAATTCCTTTGAGCCTTTGACTCCTTTCATTAATAGTACACCAAGGAATATCAGACATCAGTAGTTCATTTACAGTGAGCCATCTTTTGAGCCATACTTCAAACAACCAGTCAAATAAACTATTAACACCCTTTTTTAATTCCATAAGCTACAACATTAAATTCAGAATCTCTATTCTACTTAATGTGCTCATATTAAGAAACGCACCTTGAGCCAGGTTTATGTTTCTTCCACCATTATATCTCACACCCTTAAAATCTATTTTCATACTTGTTCCCCAGACCTCTGCTTGTTTTTGGGTCTCACTATGTAGTCCAGACTAGCCTTGAACTCACTATGTAGCCAAGGCTGACCTTGAACTCACAGCAATCTTCCTGCCTCAGGCTCCCAAGTGCGGGGATTACAGTCATGCACCACCACGCCCAGCCACAGACCTCTGCTTGTAAGAATTAGAAAATTTATGATGTTCTTAGGATATATAGTTGACCTCTTCATGGGTCATGCTGTGTACTGCACCCTGAGGAGACCTCTGACATTTGAGCCTGATTACGGGCCTCGAGGCAAAAGTGAATGGTGAGGGTAAAACTTGAGGAGTGTCTGCACCATTGTACTTGGTAACGGCATCAGAGATGGTCCTTACCAGTTCCATAGGCAGCACTGGACTAATTTCCTCAAGTATAGGAACAAAGGCTAACACTACAAAAGATGGGGTAGACATTCCTCTGCCACTGAGGGTGGGGACATGTCTCCAGTAAAATAATGTCACCAGGATTTAGGATATTCTCAGAGTGTCATTCTCCCAAACATCTCCATCCCAATTCACAGAAGCCCATTCTTTTCTGATCAGGAGAGGAGATTCTTTTGCAGGACATATTTAGAAAACTTTACATCCTTTATGCATGTCTGGAGATGTGAATTTGAAACTTTGAACTCCATGTTTTCCTTTATCAATTTATCTTCACACATAAAAGAATTTAAATTGTTTATTCATATCTGGAGCTCATGATTTTCCTGAACTCGTTTGTACAGATACTAAGAACATGAATCCAGCAAGAATCCTACTCTTCCAAATATATACAAAACACTGGCTAGGGATGCAGCTCAGGGGCACTGTGCTTGCCTGACAAGTGCAAGGTCCTGAATTCAATCCTTAGTACCAAAAAAAGAAAGAAACAAACAAACAAACAAAAAACAAACAAAAAAACCCCAAACCGAATATATACAAAAGTATTGTATATATAGTCACTCAATTTCTTTCATGTCTTAAGTGGTGAATTAGGATAATCAAATTTATCTAGTTGTGGTATTACTTTAAACAGTTCACATCACAAAATATCAGTACTTTCCACATTATCAAAAGGAGAAATCATGGCAGCTTCAAGTCTCATTAAATTAGACAGCCAACTCCAGTATGATTGTGTGAGATTTTCTAAGAAGACTTACAATGACTACTAGTGGAATGAAGGATAGAAGAATGCAAAAGAGCCATCCCCATGCTGGACAGCCATAGGGTCCAGTCAAAGGTGCAAGGCCTAGAGCTCACTACAGAGTACAGTGTGAGTCTCTGTTGGAAAGTCAAAGAGCCTACATTGAAAGACTGAAGACTGTGCTGGAAGTCTGAAAGAACTGGAGGTGAATATCCGAAGGCATTCATGACTAAGAGATCTCCAAAGGAGCAAAGGGAATACTTCCTTCTTTTCTTTTTTATTCTGTCCATGCTACAAGCCTATCAGTTGGTGCCACCCACATCAAGGGTGGGTCTTCCCTCCTCGGTTTGTGGCTTATATGTCAATCATCCATAGACATACCAGAGCTTTACTAACCTCTACCAGGGGTTTCTTCTTTAATTCAAATTGACCCATCACAATTAATAATCACAATGACCTTTTGATATCAGCTTTTTCAATGCCCTTGAGATCCATACAAGTTGCTATGTATATCAATAGTCATTCCTTTGGATTACTGAGTATTATTATTGCATGGTATGGATGTTCTGTGTATCGTACCTTGTTTTAGCCATTTCCTACTTGTTGAGAAACATTTCTATTGTTCTCATTTTTTGGTTACTGCAATGTTGCTATGAACAATCATATACAGCTTTCTGTAAGCATA